TATTATTAAATATTAAATTTTTATATAATTTTAAATATTAAGTAATATAATTAAATCAAATAATAAAACTTTAGTATAAATTTTTAAGATTTAATTAATTATAATGTAACAGTTAAATAATTTAATTTAAATTAATATTTTATGAGTCAAATATAAAAAAATAAAAAAATAAAAAAATATATAATTAAGAATTATTTTTTTAATTTACTATTATAATTAAATTTAGATTTTAAGAATTTAGATTTAAATACAAATATTAATTTATAATTTTTCAAATTTCAAATTTTTAGTTACAATTTATTTCTTGATTAAAAAAATTTTTTATTAATTTAAAATATTAAATATAAATTTTGATTTTGATTAGTAATTCAAATATTTATATTTATATGATTTCAAATATTAATTAATAAGATGAATTTTTTTGTTAAAATATATTAATTGCATTAAAAAAAAAAGCATTTACAGTATATAAAAATTATAAGTATTGTTTTGTTATAAATTATTGTTATTTCAATATTTGTTATAATATTATATTAAAATTTATCATTTAATATGATTATAGCCAATTTTTAAATGTGATATACTGTATATTAAATTAAATAAGAATTTAATGAAATTCTTTTATTTACACAAAAAAAATTTTATAACATATCAAATTTACGATTATACAGTATAATCAAGCTTTTTTTTTTTTTTTTTGCATTATTAACATAACAAGATTTATGAATAAATATTAAACTTGGACTATTATTATTATTCAAATTGTTATTAATTGTTATTAATTGTTATTAATTGTTATTATTCAAATTATTATTAATTGTTATTATTCAAATTATTATTCAAATTATTATTATTATTTACTTCAATTACTTTTTTCAATTATGATTTCAATAACAGAGGAAATAAAAGATATGAGGAGGTGTTCTCCTTACCTCGTGTAAGCAACACTCCTACGGTATTCGTGCTTTATCCATGCGTCAACTGTACAGCATTCGTGCAGACGAATTTGTAGTGAAATTTCCGTACTTATGTTTTTAGTGGTCGGATTTTATTCTGGTGTATATTTCGGAAATTGAAAATCGAAAGTTACAATCAATCAACACACATTCGCCTGCACAGATGTTGCATACATGAGAACACTCTCATGTCTTTTATTTCGGGTAAAAAATCTCTGGTGATTTCAATTAGACCACTCATTATGTTCCTAAATTGTGTTATTGGTTATATTTACCCGATTGAATAATTAAGGGGGCCCTACCTTTAATTATCAAGTATTAAGCATTTTCAACGCTCGTTTTAAATGAGAAATTCTTTACGACCAACTATATTTGACCTAAACACAAATCGAGTGACAATACGTGGTGTGCGCGTAGTTATACACACGGTAAATATGCTATGCATTGTTAAATTTAAGAACGGGTGTGGGAACTCTAGGACGTTGGCCTTGTCTCAAAACACTTTGTTCTACTAAGCCATTGAGTCATTAAATAAAAGATATGCATCAAATATTATTAATATTTATTTCGTAAGACGTATACGTCAAAATAACAATAACAATAATGTATAAGACGTATACTTCAAAATAACAATATTATATTGAGTTGGTTATTCTGCAAAGTTAAAAAAAGCTAAAGAAAAGATATAAATAAATAAATACTGTAAATAAATAAATAAAATAGAGAAATGAATTAAAAATAAAATATACAATGCGCAATATTTACTGTACGCTCGTCGTTTTTGTTTACACCGCACAGAAATTTGTTCCTATTCCAAAAGAATACTAAAAAAACAAAAAATGGAATTATCCTTTTTGTTTACATCATAAAAATATTCTACTTTAAAGACAATTGTATAGTATACAATGCACTTCGGTATATTTATTATGTGAACCATCGAATTACGACTTTGTGAGAGAAGTATGATTTCTTCCCGCGGCAAAAGCCACAAATTGTTTGTTTTCGTTTAACAAAGGGGGGAGATAAGATGATCAAGACAACCTTAGATTACAAATGCGTCATTTGCTCTTCAAATATTAAATGCATAATTATAAATACTGTAAATAAGGAAAATACAATAATAGTATAGGTAGAATGAATAACAGACGGGTCACAGGTCAAGGCTTTGTCGAATAGTTATTTTGAATGTGGGCACACTACATGCAAACAATGTCACATTGGTAGCGTATAGTTCACGCAGAAAAAAAAGAGCCTGTTTTCTTTGATAATAGCTTTGATTGTCAATCGTTATGTTTGATCAGATGATCTTGATTTTTATGCATGAATGTTGATTTCATAAATTTACAAAAAAGAGCAAAATGATAAATTGTTTTTGCTCATGGATAAAGTTATTTCTTATTTCCGTAATACTTTTTGTGGGGTTATTCATAATAATGAACATAAATGGCGTTCGATGAGTGCCGCGCTTTGCATGCAAAAAAAAAAAAAAAAATTTCTCAGATCATTTATCGGCGTTTTCCGATAATTTTTAATTGTTGTCATATGCAATCATAAAAAGAAAGGCACGTAAGTTGCCATGAATGGAAATGGAGCGAAATTGTGGACCTTACCGTGAAAAAAAAAAATTATGGACCTTACCGTGATTGGAGAAATAATATTGTGTGGCCTTTGCCGTAAATAGGGAAAGAAAAAAGATCATGAGAATGTCCGAAATTTTGAGTTTCGTGATATCCTCAAAGGAAAAGAAAAAGAAAGATGATTCTATGCACCGTATTGGAAATTTGGCAAAATGTTAAACATGTTATGGAGAAGTTTCTTTTAAGAATTTGATGAGAGTAAGGGTACAATAACAATAGATTTTCATCAAACGAACGGAACGACGTCCCTTAAATTAATGTAATTGGTTCGAAAAATCAAAACATTTATGTAACTCTTTCATATCGTGTGAAGAAAAAAAAAAGAATCTACGCGGATGGCTTCAAAATGATTCGACACACATTTTTCCCAAACAAAAAAAAAAAAAAAAAAGAAAGAAAGAAAGAAAGAAATTATTATTTCTAATCACGTAGTATTCATAGTTAGTATTCATAGTGCCAGTTAATTACGAATACATTTAATCATATAATGTAAATAGAAGGAAGATTGTATGAAGATGGGTACAGTCCGATATTCGCACGCGAATTCCAAATATTACGTCAGGGATCTTCTGGAACAACAGATGAATAATCAAAGGTGAATTTTAATTTTGGTTTGTTGGTGTTCCGATGTACCCGGCCGTTACTGGTGAAATGGAATGACAATCGTATAAAAATGAATATTGCTGTGAAATCAAAAAGGAAAAGATTTCCCAAATCGAATTTGAAACTGCATGTAAAACATTAAAAGAGCGCATCTTACCCCGCATTTTTATCACATGATTCGTGCGATCCAGTTCACTTAATAAAAATTTTTTATGGTTATCTAAAGACACAAAAATTGATCCTGGAAGTATATTCCTGGATCAATCAATCAGATAAGATAAATAATAATCTAGACAGGTATGGAAAATTGGCGTGCGCAAAAAAAAAAGATAATAATACGTGATGTGGTAGTCATCGTGACTCAAAAAAATGAATACTAGACCCGAAGCACATATGTGAATTATTAACTGACCAGAGTCTGACATATTGTTGTCTGTGTAATGATGACGAAATGAACCTGAATGGCGAAATTTTAAGTACATATGCTTCTGCGGGATTGACATTTGATGAGCCAGTTAACAATTCGAGGGTTGCCAGGTGGAGGTGGCGTATTGTATTGTTACACGGTAGAATTTCGTTGTACTGTTGTACCACCGCATACTTAAGGTTCTTCATTCTATACAACCATATTAAGAAACTCATTCCTTGAAAAACTTCCCGTACAAGAGAGGAATTCTCACATATTCCTTTATTATACACAACCAAAAATGTTATTGTCACACTAGAGCAACAATGACTCTTTTATCATGTACGGATGAAATCCAGTGATTTATTGTTTCAATAATGAATAAACGGAAATTAATAAAGCGGTCAGCGGTTCCACATTTGGAGTACACCATCGTTCCAAATAGATTACTAAAACCTTGCTGTCTACTCTTTACGGAAGAATTTCACCGACGAAGGGTATACAGAGAATGTGGCTTTAAATTCACAATGACACATAATGTGGCTTGACACCTGTTTCGTTCACATACATGTACGTTGCATTCACAGTGTATTGTAAAAATTTCTGGGCATCCGCACCGGACAAAATTCCACTGACGATTGATGATTGATATCAATGCGACCTTTTTTTTTTTAGCATTGAAAATGAAATCCTTTCGTGATCATAAGCTTCCATGACTCAATGGACAACGAACTTGCGTGTGCACGCATATAGCACAATGACTCGGTGCATAAAGCACACAAGAACCCTTTAACTCACAGGGAACGACTTCCCGTTTCGCAGTATTATACGATGAGTGAAGAAGAATTATGTGACGTTTGTATTGTAAAATGATTACGTTGTTTTTTCCCTGTGTGAGGTAATTACATTTTTTTTTTTTCTTGTGTATTTCGAAAAGCTTTTGCATGGATCCTTTTAGAGTGTATACTCGTGACGGCCTCACGGAAACACGAAAAAAAAAAACCCCCATCCCCCAATTTTCTACATTAGCGTCATTCCAATTCTTATTTGGGAAAAACATACAATCGTTTAAATCCAACACAATAGGTATTTTTAAACATACTTTATTTAAATATACGTTATTGTAAATCTGTACACTGCACTGATAATTTCAATGATTTGAAATAGCCAATAATATAAATAAATTATGTATATAAATGACCTTTTCCTGCAACTTTTCTTCATCAATTCAATAAAGGTTCCTTCCCTAGGACTCAAAGATAAACTTATTTTTTCGCAATTAATATTTCTGTAGACCAAGCAAAAGCCTAGCTTTATTAATAATACTCTTTTTTTTTAAAAAAACAAACTAAATTTCCATTCAATTGATCATATTTTTTCAGCGCACTTACAAAAAAAATGAGCGTATTCTTTTCTCGACAAAGCTGCATCGCCTCTCTTATCGCTCACCCTCAAGCTATTGAGGTCAAAAGGAATACCCCGTACATTCCTCCGGAAATCATTCTCGTCATTCTCAAAATGTTGAATGATGACAAGAAGACTCTTGCTTCCTGTGCTTTGGTTAATCGCACCTTCAACCTTCACGCCATTCCCATCTTATATCACACGGTCTCTTTCACTTTTCCTCTTACCTTCACCCGGTTCGCCGATACAATCTATGGCGTTACCGAGAGTTCCTCTCTGATTCGTCATTTGGATCTTTCCGGCTTTTCCACTTGCGGTCTTCAAAAGAGCCCGGCTGCCGTTCAA